TGTCACCACCTCTCATCAACACCACAAGAAGCACCATGTCCCATCTACCTGCAGCTCGGTTACTCAGCTCTATCTTAAAAGCACACTCGGAGATCAATGACATTTGTCCCGGGCTAAACTGATAACCCAAGCACTTGGGACAGGTTTGCTGATAGGTGTTAATGTGATAAGCCCTAATAAACTGCTCGCGAGGTGGAGACTTCAGAGCAAACCTTGGTCGTGTTTAACTTCAGCCACAACAAATTAAACGGGAAGCTCCTCGGTTTTGAGAGCTCCCCAGTGCTCAGCTGCTCGGGGTTAATTCTGATTCACAGTTATCAAACGGGACATTAAACAGGGACCAGAGATTCTGCAGGTAATGGCACAGCAAGAATAAAGGATCAGAGCTGAAAACTGAAATAAAAATTGAATTGAAAGGTGCACTTGGGAGGGACATCACTGCAGGAGGCAATGGGACTCGGAGAGAGGGAGAAAAGTACAGGAGATCAAGGCAGGGAAAGATCTCAAACAAAACTGAAGCTCAGGATTCTGTGAATAAAAATCACAACCCAGCATTTCGCTGCCTAATGCCAAACATACTTCAGTAATCTCAGCAGTCTCCAAGCACTCCCCAAGTAAGTAAATAAATACAGGTGCTTAACTCTAACTGAGGAATAACTTACACTGGGAATTGTATTTCCCCAGCAGAAAACCCAGTTGATTTTAGTCAAACAAACCCAATTCCTTTCCAAAGCAAGTGTGCTGTCTTGATTTCACCTGGTTTTGCATGGAAATAGAATCCTTGGAGCTTCTCACATAGATTCCCATGCAGTCTTTCTGAGGGATTTCTGTTTTCCAGAATATTTGCATGGTTGGAGCTGAAGTTATCCTCTGTTGACCTGCTGCTTTACTCACTGCTGTCCGTGTCTCTTTGTTCTACAAAGCCACTTGTTTGTAAGGAACTTTGAGGGTTCAACCACAGGTTATGAATGCACAGCCCACACACAAACACACAGTTAAGAGAAGACTCTGTCCATGTGGGAAGTGATTTATGTGTATTTGTGTTTTTAAACTCAGACCTAAGCGCATCAGACAGCACCAGCACTTCTGATCAGAAGCTTATGTGAATCCTCACACATTTGATACTCTCCCAGTTCTCTGTATCAGAGAGAAATATTCTTTATGGATATTTTTGCTGATACAATTTAAAAGGAAAACCAGGACTTGTGCAAAGCTAAAAGCTTCCTGCTTTGAAAGGAGAATGAAAAAGTTACTTCAGGAGCATCACCAGCTCCAGGATACCTCGAAGCCCGATGATGAGCACTTCAAGTTCCAGCATTACAAAAGGAACTGAATGAACCAAGCAAAAAAATTCAAGTTAACTACTTCCATCCGAAATAATCAGAACTGAACGCTGTATTTAATGATTAGAGAAGGCTCATCCCGAGGTGATCCCTGCAGAGCTGGGAAGGAAAGTCCCTTCCCACGGGTACGGTGTCAGCATTTCTGCAGCGTCAAACCACGTCCTTAAGTTGCCATTCCTGCCTTTTCCTCTCTAGCCTCAGGCCTGTGATGCCGTGCCAAGCTGAAGTGGAAATGAATGGATGTTCAAACAAGGATTGAGATGAAGGCTCAGACAGCTCTGGCCAGGCAATCCCGGGATCACCCATTACCACCACATTTTCAGCTTCCTCACACCTCAGGTAAATTGACTTCTCAGAGCCTTCCGTGTGAATGTCCCTCATTATCAAACAGGATTTCACCTCACAACGTGCAACTCGGCAATCTCCAATTATAGGTATTCAAATAAAAACACACTAATGTGATAAGAAACAAATCCAGGGCTTATCTGCTCTGCAACTTGCTCCCTTTCCAGTCAAAACAATTCATTAGCATTAGTAAATAAAAGTCTTACTCATCAGGAAAAAAAGCCCTAGTGTCCCTGCTCAATTTCTGAATTCCCAAAAGGACACCTTCCTGCTTCTGCTCCAGCCATCGCTCTCTCACGTGAGTTTAAAAACAAACCCACACAATTTGCTTCCTCAGGTTAATTTAGAGTAAATTATAAACATTTGTAACATAAACATGCTACAGAAGAGAAACCTAATTCTTTCACAGCTGGAATCTCCAAGTGAGAGAAATGAGCTGCTGATTTGTGAAACGCTGCAAGTGGATATAAATCTCTGAGATACTCATACAGAAACAGTTCCAGAATATTCATCAAAAATAAATGGACCAAAATCTGTACTTCTGTATGTACAAAAGATCAATCACCAACTAATTAAATCACATGTCTGCACCAGCGAGGCTGGGTTATAAAGAACAGGGCAGACATGCCACTCAAGCGTTTTAAATCCTGCAAATCTGTAAATAATGATGATTTCCAGTGGAATATATCCCGGAAGGTGCTGTCTGACCCCATGACAGTCCCAGAGGGTGGCACCGGAGAAGAGCGGCATCCCAGGGCCAGAGGAACATGAGGTTTGTGGCTCTGAACAGCAAATGGAAAACAGCAGCCACCCTGAGGCTTTAAACAACTTTCACTCGGGGAAAAAAGGCCTTGAGACACCCTAGAAATTGAGGTGGCAGAATGAGTGTGCAGAGATTTCTCTCTCCCTCCAAAAAGTCCCTTTTAAAATACATCAAATCGATCACAGCAGTATTTGCTATCAATTAAAGCTGTTCAGGTATTTCTCAAATATTTAACTACTGTCATCCACAACAGACATTCCTTTTCATATCATTAAAAAAAAAAAGTACAATTAAGAATTATCTGTGCTACACTGGGAGAAGGACAAGCCATGAATGAAACCATCACCACATGGTAATGATCTGAATAATCTAAGAATAGCAGTTTATAATCTTGCCTGGCTGATGCATCTCGCACAATGTTTATATACTGCTTCAGTCATTTCATTTTGAGACTATTACATAATATATCAAACAGAGCCACATGTCAGCGCAGAGAAAACAAACCTCACTCTCTCAGAAAAACAACTTTTTAGGACAACACTAAAGTAGTTTTATTGAAGTATAAATCTAATCTTCTCAATCATTTAAGCAGCCCATAAGCAGCTTGTTTGCTCGAACTATTACAGCAATTTTCCATTAACAACTTTATTTTAAACATGATTTATGACAATAACAGCAATTTTTAATAATTAGTTTAAATATTAAATGCAAACACAGCACTGCAAGATAGACTTTAGAGGCTGAGAAAACCAAATTAGTCTCCAAAATTGCTTCATTAGTACCCCAATGTTGTTCCTTTTAACTACAATCCCAGCTTTTAGCAGAGTTATTCTTGGGGAGTTCCTGAAGTTTTGATCCCACTGTATTAGACACAGTAAATTAAAAAATAAAACCCCACCATGATAAGACAGAGGATTCCTTTTAATACCAACAGTCAGGTGAGAAAAAAGCAGTGAGGAAAGCACGGAGCCTCCTTTGACAGCTGTAACCTCGGAAAAGCCAATCCACAGGCACAGAGGTTTGGCTGAGGCGGAGACACGGATTCATTGAGGAAATTCTGGAGGGTGCATTTACTATCGGCTCTGCAAGTACAGACACATCAGGCGACAGCCTCTGTCTGAGCTTACACAACTCCCAGGAGCACAAAATAAACCTTACTCTTACAGAAAAGTGTTTGAAGATCGGCAAGACAAAGCAGTACGTTTGGAGGACACCAGAACTGCAGGCAAGCATTTTCAAAGCTATCCCACTGCTCACCAAAACCCCCAGAAACACGTATTTACCTCAGCGCACAAAAGCTTTTCCACCCTTTAACACCGCGAGCAGAACACACATCACACATCCACGCTGAACACTGGCTGGTTGATTTGGAAATAACATTAAAGCTCCAACGCTTCACACAACGCGTTCAGCTGACGCCTCGGCCATGCGATGCACATCAAGCAGCAGCACAAACCATCGGTGTTAAATAACTCCGAGCAGCACCAGGGATGGCTGAAGGAACAGTCACTGTCCCACACGGGGACAGAAACGCTGTCCCACACGGGGAGCCAAAGCTGCTGTGCAGCCCTGCAGCCCCACATGTGCACCGTGTGTGTGTGTTTGTGTGTGTGTGCTGGGCTGTGCCCTCAGCCCCACATGTGCACAGTGTCTCTACCAAGCGCAGGGACTGACAGCGCCCCAAACCGCGACACGGAGCTGCCGCCGGGCTCGGGGACACCCGGCCGGAGGAGAAGGGAGAAGCTGGCCCGGAGCCGCTCGTTCCCTGTGGAGTGGCACAGCACAGCACGCTGCACCCAGCGCTTTCACGCCGCCACCGCCTCCCCAGCTCCAGCCCGAGCGACTTGACAGCCACTCACAACAGGCTTGGCAGGAGTAGTATCAGCTTTAGTCCACAACGCGCCGAGCACCCCGAGCCGCTCCACCGGGCCGGCATCCCGAGCCCGCTGCAGCACCCCGGCATCCCCAGCTGCTCCGGCATCCCGTGCACCCCGCACCGGCACAGCCCGAGCCCGCTCCGGCATCCCCGAGCCGCCGCTCCGGCATCCCGGCTCCGATACTCCGCCGCTCCGGCACAGCGAGCCGGCACACCAAAGCCGCTGTGCCGCTCGGACATCCCGAGTAGGCTCCGGCACCCCGAAGTGACAATCCGAACTGACACCCCGAGCACGCTCCACCGCTCTGACACCCTGAAGCCTGTCCGGCAGCCCGCCCCGCTCCGCCGGGCCAGCGCCGCGCTCCGCCGCTCTGACACCGCGCTCGGCTGCTCCGACACCCCGCTCCGCTCCGCGCTGCCGCCGGCCCGTCCCGCCGCCCTCACGCCGAGCCCCCCCCGCTCACCCGCGCCCGGGACGCGCAGCAGAAGATGGCGGACAGCGGCAGGGCCCGCTCGCGGCGCCGGACCGCGGCTTACGCTGCGCCGTTTGCGCAGCGCCCCGCGCGCCCCGCGGCGGAGCGAGCGTAGCGCGCTTGGTGAATACCGGCGGCCGGTTCCCCGTGCGGGGGGTGCCTGTAAACAATGGTGCCCCCCCTGCGCCGCGCTCCCTTACCGATTCTTCCTCCTTCTCCATCCCCGTGGGCATCTGCGGCACGGCCCGGTTGATGGAGACGCAGTCGTTGAGGTCGGGCATGTCCTTGCCGCGGTAGATGGGCAGCGGTTTGGCGGCGTCTAGCGCCCGGGCGCGGAAGGAGAGTTTGCTCATTGTCTCCCCCTCACAATAACACCCCGGGGCCGGGCGGGCGGGGGGGGGGGGGCCTTCAAGTCGG